GCACGCACAGAACCTGCCCTTCTCCTCTTCTTCCCCACCCTGCCGATGCTCATAACACCCAGCAACTGTGGATCCCAGCGCCTGCTGTGCCTGACACCCTTCTCCACCCGCCCCTCCTCTGAGCCCCCTCCCCAGCCTGGCTGGTGGCCCCCGGGGGGGACAGCGCTCCTGACCCCTGTGCTTCCCTTGCAGATCCGCGTCGTGAAGGCGTTCCGTAGCTCTCTCTATGAAGGTTTAGAAAAGCCTGAGTCTCGAACCTCCATCCATAATTTCATGGCTCATCCCGAATTCCGGATCGAAGATTCCCAGCCCCACATCCCCCTCATCGACGACACCGACCTGGAAGAAGATGCCGCGCTCAAACAGAACTCGAGCCCGCCGTCGTCCCTCAACAAGAACAACAGCGCCATCGACAGCGGGATCAACCTGACGACGGACACAAGCAAATCAGCTACCTCTTCAAGTCCAGGGAGCCCCATCCACAGCCTGGAGACGTCGCTTTAGCTAAGGACCCTGTGGCCCACCCACCTGCCGGCCCGCCGGCCCCCCACCCGCCCAGGCCCCCATCTCACCCACGCAGCAACGAGCAACAACAGGAAACCAAATACCGGAGAGAAAACCGACGTGTCCACCCACAGACCCTTTCTCTGGCTGCGATGCTGTTTGAACTCTTTTTCACTCTGAGGCAAGGGGCGGGATCTCTCTCTACTGGGGGCTGACGGGGAGTGAGCAGTTTGCCCAAAACAAGCCCTTCCTGGCTCCGCCCCGACATGGACGAGCCATGCACCCGCCCGGCCATGTTTGTTTGTTTGTTTATTTTCTTAGGCGGGAACTGCAAACAGACTCTTTTCTGAGACTATTTATCCAATCCACTGGTCTGTGAGTTTTTGAAATGCTTGCACAGCATGGTCTCAGTTGTATAGATTAATTTAATAACTTTTTTGAAATTGCAGAGCTTAACTCGCCTAGTAGATTTGCACCAACGGAACCGAAGAACTTCATAGACACTCACGAGGTTATATACATTTCTTTGTATCTATATCAACGTATACTTCTCCAAGACTGTATACGTCCATATAGATGGGTAGATATATATATATATATATATATATAAAAATATATATACATGGATATATAAAGTTTCTTTGCCGGCATGTTGCCTTGTTTCCGCTTAAATTGCTCTATTTTAACTTATTTATGTCCTAAAAAAAAAAAAAAAAAAGAATGTAATTTGTTTACAAACCTGTAGATAACGTCTTTGGCTATTTGTACGGTCTGAGAACACTGGCGGCTGAGATGCTGTGAAGACAGCTCAGCTCAGCAGATACTTCCCACGGCTTGCATCCTTAATGTTTTACGACAGCCATGCTCTGATTTTTGCCTGCTATTTCCGTTCAATAATGTCACTACCGTGGGAGGGTCAGGCAGAAGCCAAGGGCTCGCAAGTATCTATCCTGAGGAGTTTTAACAACGTGCTCCGTAGACAAAGGGAGAGGAGGAGAGAAGGCTCCCCAAGTTGGCAGCACCGACGGCCATCCCGGCCCAGGGATGCCAGGATCTGCAAAGCGCTGGTCAAAGACTTTTCTCTCAATGAAGCTCGCTTGAGTTTACTAAGAGCATTTCAAAACGAGGTCCTCCTTGGCGCTGTCTGTACAGAGATCGAGGTAGTGCTGAAATATTATAAATGCTATTGTGTTGATTTTTTTTTTTCTTTTCAGTTAGTCACGTAGAGGTTTCTTTCCTTATGAATTGCAGCGTCTGAGCTGTTGGCATATTGGATGAGGATCGGTATGGCTTTTTTTTTTTTTTTTTTTTTTTGAAGAAGGATAGCCTTTTTCTCTGCACTATTTAGATCTGAATGAACCTTCTGCGGTGTATATTGAGATGTATTCAGTGTGATTTTTAAACCAAATTGTCTTCCTGTAGTCACAACCATATACTGTAGCCTTTCAATAGCAAGTCTCGCTCTCCCACACAGAAAGCCATTCTGAAACCCTACAGTATGACAGGTGAGAACAGGTGGTTATCCCCCCAAGACAATAACAGCGCTAGTAATCCCACTTAATAAGAGCTTATTTCAATTGTTATGTCGGCCTCTTAACTGCTAAGCACTTTGTGGGTCTCAGCTTTTTTCATAAAAGAACTTTTGTATTTAATACAAAGTTTGCTTTGAGACTTTTCAGCATACGATCTTTTTCCATAAACTTGTACAGTGCAAAAGACATTTTGAATACCATGATCGACGATGTCCCATGCTTCGAGGAAAACCAAACACTTTTCCGCCTCGCTTGCGAAATCCGTTCCTCATGCTGACCCTTCCCGCCGTCACTCTGTGTCCACCGGCCCCTTCCCTTCTCCAGGCCCAGAGAACTCTTCCACAAACAAGATGAGAACCACTCGGGAAAAGAGCCATAGTCAGCTGGGAGGACCCACATCTGGATGGCTGTGGAGACCCTTGAGGGGCTGAGGTTTCCAGTCAGCCCATCCCACCTGGCAACAATCTTTCTGGAAGGAGGACCTTCTTTGCGAGAGCGTGCCACCTGAATGTCGTGAAGAAATACCTCTGAATGTATCCAGCAGAGGATGCCACATCCCCACGCGGGCGACCAGCCGTCGGATGTGCTCGGTGGATTCCGGTGCAAACACCACCAAAGCCAGCCCGCTGCTCTCCGAGGAAGGGCGGACTGGACTCTGAAACATGGGGCAGCTTGGAACATGGTGTTTTTTGGAGTTTCCTTTCTCACGACTTTCCATCCTCCCCCCCCCCTTTGTGTAATCACGTGGTCCTGCCCTCGTTCCATGCCGCCAGGATTGGTTCTGCTCACACTCCATGCTCCCTGTTCGTTTGGAGCCAGGACGCCCGGAAAACGGGGAGGGTTCTCTGAGCGGAGCCCAGCCTGTGGAATGGGGAGCGATGGAAGCCCCCAGGGCCGCCCGACGTCAGTGTTGGTCTTCGCTCGTCAGGAAGGACGGCTGCTCTCCCACACGCACCCCTTCACCCTCACACACAGCCACACACACACGGGAAATGGTTGGTTTGTCCAAACTCACTGTAGTACATGAAGCTTGCACTCTGCGTCCTATATCTAACAGCATGGGGTACGTTTGGCAGTTTGCCCCAGTAGGGGGTAAATAATTTATGACCATTCATCTGTTTTTATGAATTTTTTTATCTAGACAATAATTGTAAATAAAGAACTCACCGTCTCTGTTCATTTAATACTATGCAATGGTAATGCTTTCGATTGCTGACTCCTGACTCTGCCGTGTGGTTCTGAAATGTCTGTGGGTTTTTTTTGTTTGTTTGTTTTTTTAAAAGGGTAAAAAACGTCAACCAGATGGTAGTAAATATATACTCTGTAAGACAGGCCTTTCCCGAGTTTGGGGCATGGAAGTTTTTTTCTGCCTTCTGGCCTCCCAAGGCTCTAGGAAAAGGGAGCAGATGCAGTTCTGAGGGCTCAGCTCAGCAACTCCTGTCCCCGACAGATGCAGGGAGCACCAGGGCCCACGCAGCAGCTCTGGGTGCGGTAGAGTCACCTTTGGAGCTGGGCAGGGAGAGTTCTGGAGTTTTCTTCCTGCAACCTAGAGCTTTCCCTAACGCAGGAACAGCCTCGGGGGCTTTGTGGCCCCTTGTCCCAAGCACAGGACAGAGCTGACAAGAGGGAGGGCGCCCTGCTCCTGAGGCCAGACGGGTGGCAATGACCGCACTGTGGCAAGGACTCGGACCCGGACTGATAAGCGTTGCTCCTGGGCAGCCGCTCCTCTCCCCAGCCACCATGGGACGCCAGCCTCCCTCCCACACACTGACGTCCCATCTAGACTTTTCTGGAGTTTCTCTTCTGTTCCCTGATCTGGGTCTCATCTGGCGTCTGCCACAGTTTTATTTTCTCTCTCTCTCTTTTTTTTTTTTTTTTTTGAGAGGGTTTTTTTTTTGCTATAGGGCACAGGCGCTCGCCAGAAAGACAGAGCGAGACAGAGAGACAGAAAGCGAGAAATCACCCCCCAGAGGGGATGGCCATGCCGCAATCCCTTCTCCTCCATTCTCCTCTCGGGATCTTGGGCATGCACACACATGTGCCTGGCGTGAGTTTAAGCCACCGGGTCCGGGACACAAACTGCGGTTGACTACGTGGGAGTCCAGAGACATAGCCATTACGCTAACTGCTGGTCCCAGCCACAGTTTTAATTACTGTCATTTACAGTGTTTTATTATGTGACATGATGGGTCCCCTTCACTCTTTTTTTTTTTGGAGAGGTTTTTGCTATAGGGTGCAGGCGCTCGCCAGAAAGACAGAGCGAGACAGAGAGACAGAAAGCGAGAAATCACCCCCCAGAGGGGATGGCCATGCCGCAATCCCTTCTCCTCCATTCTCCTCTCGGGATCTTGGGCACGACATGAACCTTGTGGCAAAACAAAACAAAAAAACTAACAACAACAACTAAAACAAAAAGAGAGAGAGAGAGATTTCAGGCAAAGAATAATGCCAACAAAGGTACAAAAACACGGGGTATCTCTCTGTGCTTTTTTAAGACCCTTTGAAATTAACGCTGATTGAGATTTTTTAATGAGATATTTTTGCTATAGGGCATGTACACTCACTGGAGAGACAGAGAGACAGTGAGACAGAAAGCAAGAAATCACACCCCTGGGAGATGGTCATGCTGCAATCCCTTCTCCTCCACTCTCCTCTCAGGATTTTAGACACACATGCACACACACCTGGAGTGAGTTTTAAGCTGTCAGATCCAGAACTCGAACCGAGGTTGATTATGTGGGAGTCCAGCGACATAACCATTAAACTATCTGCTGGTCCCCTGATCAGAAATTTTAAGAACTAACTTGATTTTGATTTTTTTTAAATAGATTTTTGCTATAGGGCACATGCACTCACCAGAGTGACAGAGAGAGACAGAAAGTAAGAAATCACCCTCCAGGGGTATGATCATGCCATGATCCCTTCTCCTCCTCCATTCTCCTCTCCAGATTTTGGGCATGCATGCACATGTACCTGACGTGATTTCCAAATTGCTGGGTCCAGGATTCGAACTGAAGTCGCCTACATGGGAGTCCAGTGACATAGCCATTATGCTAACTGCTGGTCCTATAATTATAATACTCTTTAAAATTACTTCGCCTCTCGATGATTCAGTTTCTTCATCTCTAAAATGAGAATATTAGCCCCTACTTTATAGATTCTTATAAAGATTGAGTGAGTTAATATACATCAAGTGTTTAGGACATAATGCCTGGTGCATGGTAACAGGAATTATTAATACTATTAATATTAGTATTTTGAATTTATTTAAAAGTCAAGAGGTTTTGAATTTATTTAAAAGTCAAAAGACTTGATTTTAAAAATCAAGAGCAGTTAGTGTAATGGCTATGTTGTTGGACTCCCACGTTGTCGACCGCGGTTTGCGTCCTAGACCTGGTGGCTTAAACTCACGCCGGGTTTGTGTGTGTGTGCATGCCCAAAATCCCTAGAGGAGAATGGAGGAGAAGGGATTGTGGCGTGGTCATCCCCCCTGGGGGGTGATTTCTCACTTTCTGTCTCTCTGTCTCTCTCTGTCTGTCTGGCGAGCGCATGCGCCCTATAGCAAAAACTTCTCAAAAAAAAAAAAAAAGAAGCTTTCAGTCTAGAAATGAGAAATATCTTCAGACAGATATGATTTCTGTGTAATGCCTAGTAACTCCTGAAGGAGTATGTAGGTTCAATAATTTTTCCTAAAAGAATTCAACATTGTTTAGATAAGTATGATTACAGATGAATGTTAATGCATGGAAGAAAATA